CTTCCTTCCTTCCTTCCTTCCTTCCTTCCTTCCTTCCTTCCTTCTTTTTTTCTTTCTTTCGTTTCTTTCTTTTTTTCCAAACGTTTTTCGTCCACTGCAGGATGTATCCCTCCAACAAGGACCTCCACTGTTCTATCAGCTGTTTTTTTTCCATGTCCAGGTTGTACCCATTTGCTCTCTGGTGTCTTCCTGTCATCTTCTTCCTGGTCTTCCTCTACACCTTTTTCCTGTAGTTGTTCTTCATTCCGTACATCTTTTTGTCCGTCTGTTGTCCTTCACTCTGCCGATGTGACCAGCTCATTTCCATTTTTGTGGCGTCGGTGGCCTAGTGGTTAGGCTCTCGGACTCGCAACCGTAAGGTCGTGGGTTCGAATCCCGTCATGGGCCCGACGTTGTGTCCTTGAGAAAGGCACTTTACACAAATTTTCCTCACTTCACCCAGGTGGAAATGGGTACCCGGCTATAGACAGTGAAAGATCTTGTCAGTTTGACAGTGTTTGAGCGCGTGAAATCCGCAGCTTGCACTGTATGCTTCCGCGGAAGCTGAGAATGTTTCTGAGTGTTCTCAGAGGGTCTGCTGGGGTAATGATAGTTGTAAAGCGCATAGAGCATGCTCTTGAGCGTGGATATGCGCTATATAAATGCAATTACTACTATTATTTTTATTGTTGTTGAGCAAATTTGGGTGTATATGTCCCTCCATTTTTCTCTCGCATTTTTGTGTGAATTGTGTGAATTGATGGACTGAGCTATGTTAAACTAATTACCTGTCTCTGATGATAAAAGAAAACGTATTATCTCAATGTGCAGGAATAAGATCAGTACACGGAAAGCAGCCCAGATGTTTACATAATTACACGTGTCACGACGCGGTGGAATCAGGCGCTCGTCAAAATATTAAAATACAAGAAACCAATATTAGTGCGGCGTTCATTGGGCAATTTTATCGGATTTAATTTTTTAACAACCCAGTTCCCTCTACCTCCACTTAAAACACGTTCGTGCGAGGATTTTGTTGAAAAACGTTGACCAAGGACGCAGACGCACGAAAATTTGCACTTAATAAGGACACTCAAGTTTCGGAATTCACCACACTTTGATGGTTATATATATCTGATTTTACCTCTGGAATCAGACAACACACTCTTCCTTCAGTAGCAAAAATCTCGACTTCTATTAAAGATATAATGCGTATTTTTTCATCTAAAGGAAGAAACATGAACAAGATATAAGATGATACCACGCCAATCTACCCACAAACTGACGAGCTCCTGGCTCCACGCGGAGTGACACATTATGACAGGGGCACTGCTGTTTTCGAACTTAAGCATCAGAGGGTTCGACGTTCGAATCTTAAATTTCTGACATGTTTCTTCAAAGTGTGGCGCCTAGTGAAGGGGATAGGGAAAAGAGAGGGGAAAAGAGAGGGGAAAAGAGGAGAGGGGGAAGAAAAGATAAAAA